TGGTGTGGGGTCTTGTGGTAGTGAGCTGGACCTATCAGCCCTCAGATAATACTGTTAGGTGAGGCCCTGTTGACAGAAAAGGCCCTGATACATGTGTCAATTTCAAGATAAATTGCTGCCCATTTCCAGGTGGAAAAAGTCCGGTGTAACCAACTAGCACCAAGGGGCTGGTTGGTGTCTTCAAGGGCTAGTACTGTATCAGGGGCTCGGCTTTGGTCTCTATTGACTAGTATGCTGGGTAAATATCTAAAAGCCTGAGCAGGTGCCATGGGGGGAGGGGATCCTGACTTGCAGCATCTGCTGATTTCTCTAGTCCTTGTAAGTACCCCCACCGTGGCCAATCCCAAGCTACCAACATGATGTCAGCTGACTCACAAAACTCGTGAAAGGTGAACAATTGGCTGTCCCAAAGCTTCATAGTCTGGCTCTAACACACTAGTGTGTCTGCTCCCAGGTTGGATAGTCAAGGGTGACATCAGAGGGTTGAACTCCCGTGTAATCTTGGCCACCATGGCGACTCCATTCACCCACAGTGGTCTCAGCACCAGAATGGCCGATGACAGGGGCTGGCTGACATGAACTGACCCGGTGGCTCTGACCACAAGTGCTTGGTGCCTCTTCCATAGCGGATGCTTTCTGGTAGGGGATACCATGTGATACAAAGATACTCACCTTTGGACTGACTACCGCGGGATTTCCCACATGCCTCTTTGTCCCCGATCTTCCAATATTTCTACCCTCCAGACCCCATGACTAACTAGCCAAGCCGTTGGCCACTGTCCATGACTGCACGTACATTCCTAACCAAGGCCACTTCTCTTTCCACACAACACCAAGTTCTGCCCATTGGGAGGATTTCCCCTTAACCACCGTCTGGAGCAGTTGTACAAGTCCATTTTTGCTTTGCACTCACATATAGGCCTGACCTATATGTGAACCAAGCTGGCCATTTTCCTTCTCCATCAGCTGGTCATAAAGGACTGAGCAGGTAGCCATAGATGTGAGCTAAGGAGAGATACTGGTACCATAGTTCCAGATGACATGGGAATCTGGGCAATTGGCTCCCTCAGCCAATTCTATCCTCTGGTCTGTCCCACAAGGCATTGCTCCTGGACCCACATGACCTTGACCCAGTGGCTCTGACTGGAGCCAGCTCCTGATGGGCAGTCTGGCCACATAATTATTTGTTATCCCGTGGTCAGTTACTCTATCTCTGCCAAAAACCAACGCATGCTAGGAGCTGGTTTTTGAATTCTTTGCTGCAGACGGCTTGGCCTTGTTTCAGAGCTCTGGGGTTTATGATGTGATTCTCCTTTTGGGATTTGATACAAGCTCCATGTATCTTTTCAGAGCACACATATTATGGTAGAAATCTGCCTGTTTTATGATCCAAGCGGTAAAGCTTCCTGCACTTCAGCCTGGACCTATTGCAGAAAACTTTCCCTCTACCGAACCCCACTTAAAACTAGCCATCCTTCTATGTCGCACAGCAAATGAGTCAGAGTAGTTTTCCCAAGTGTCGAATGTGCAGCTTCTAGACCCTTAAGAGTCCTGCCAGGAACCGTGCTTTCTGCTTCGTGGTGAGAGATGCAATTTATCATTTACTTTATCTTTTACTTTGAAAAGGATGTCCTGGGGCGCCTGGGTGGCTCAATTGGCTTTGGCTCAGGTCATGATCTCACAATTCGTGGGTTCCAGCCCAGCATCGGGCTCTCTGCTGTCAGTGTGGAGCCCACTTCAGATCCTCTGTCCCCCTCTCTCTGCCCCTCCCCTGCTCGTTCTCTCTCTCTCTCAGAAATAAATTTATTTCTGAGAGAGAGAGAGCAAGTGGAGGAGGGGCAGATAGAGAGGGAGGCACAGAATCTGAAGCAGGCTCCAGGCTCTGAGCTGTCAGCACAGAACCCAATGAGGGGCTTGAACTCATGAACCATGATATCATGATCTGAGCCAAAGTTAGACGCTCAGCCAAATGAGCCACACAGGCGCCCTTTAAATAAATAAACATTCTAAAAAATATTTTTTAAAATATTTGCCAGAAGAACATTTTTTGTTTTGTTTTTTGAATTTTTTTCTTAGTTTATTGTCATCTAAAAAATATTTTTAAAATATGATGTCCTAAATGCTCCAGGACCCCTAAAAATTTCACTGATGTGGTGGGCCTTTGACTTTCTTAAAAAATAGACTCTATTTTTTGGAGAAGTTTCAGGTTCACAGCAAAAGTAAGCAGAAAGTACAGCGATTTCCCAGGAAGCCCCTGACCCACACATGTACAGCCTCTCCCATTATCAACATCCCCCACCAGAGTGGTACATTTGTAACAATTGAGGAACCTATATTGATATATGATAATCACCCAAAGTCCATGGTTTATAGTAGGGTCCACTCTCAGTGTTGTACATTCTGTAGGTTTGGACAAATGTATAATGACACGTCTCTACCATTATCATACAGAGTCATTTCCTGCCCTGAAAATCCTCTGTGCTCCACGTGTTCATCCCTCCCTTCCCAACAAACCCTGGAAACCACTCATCTTTTCACCATCTCCATACTTTTCCCTCTTCCAGATGTCAGATAGCTGGAATCACACAGTACGGAGCCTTTTCAGATTGGCCTCCTTCACTTAGTGCATTTGACCTTCCTCCGTGGTTTTTCCTGGCTTAAAACGTCATTTCTTTTTAGCACTGAGGACTATTCCATCATCTGGGTGTTTATTTATCCACTCACCTACCAAAGGACATCACCTACCAAGCTGGACATCCAACTTGCTTCCAAGTTTGGGCAATTATGAAATAAGTTGCTATGAATATCTGTGTTCCTGTACGTGGTCATACATCTTTAACTGGGCCTTTGACTCTTCATAAGATTTATCTTCCGTCCTTTGAAACAACCCTGTCTTAAGACTCCAATACACTTTCCACTTTTGTTCGTTGATGTAACGAATCAACAAGATATTCCACAGAATGTCCAGATGGTCCAAGTCCTTTCAGTCAATTCTATGACAGAGGAAAGAGAGTTAACATGGCCTTTTGGATGCCGTTGTGAATGTGGAAAGCTTCCTGTCATCTTTCCAGATAGGATAGAAGAGGGCTTATCTGCTATCTCAATGGCCACATACCACGTACCTGAACTGGAATGACTTCTTTTTGGTTTTGTTTTTGTTTTTTAGAGAGAGAAAGTGTGTGTGCAAGCAGGGGAGAGGGGCAGAGGGAGAGAGAGAAAGAGAAAGAGAATCTTAAGCAGGCTCCATGCTCCACAAGGCCAGTACAGGGCTTGATCTCACAAACCGCGAGATCGTGGCCTGAGCTGAAATCAAGAGTTGGACGCTTAACCGACTGAGCCCTCCAGGCGCCCCCGGAATGACTTCTTAAGGTTGACCTGAAGCAGAAGAACTGAGCCTTCCTTGGTGGGCTACCTCAGCCAGTCACTTGAGTGGGTGAGGCAGCTCCCCGCAGCCGAGGGCGAGCCCTGGGGAAGGTCATCTATGAGCAGGCAACACTCCCTACAGCTGCAGGAATGAGTGCCTTGGGCCTGAAGGGGGAAAATCCAGCCTGCGCCCAACAGCACCCACTACAGATATTGATCAACCAAGAGGAGGTGCTGAGTAGGCAGATGGAGTTGTGAGAGCTGGGGCTGCACGTAGACAGGTAAGACTCTGTCCTACACATGCTGTCTACAGCCAGCTGTGAAACAGGATGAGATCACTCAGAGAGCGAAAATAGATCAATGCAAGAGAAAGCCAACCAAGGACTAAGCCCTGGGGCCCACGGACACTAGAAAGGAATCCCTGAGGGCAGGGGTCTTCATTCTTTTGTTCAAGGACAGATCCTAAGAGCTTAGAACCCAGGAAGTGCTCCATAAATGTTTGTTGATTAAACTAAATAAAGTTCAGGGGGGAAAAGTGTCCAGGGTGGAGAAAAGATTCGTAATTATGTCCTGTATCTGGGAGGGATATGTCTGCGTGTGAGAGACTTAACGTGTGCTTCCCCCCCTGCACCCCACCCCAAGTCATATGTTGAAGCCTCCAATGGTATTTGTAATGAGGTTTTGGGGAGGGAATTAGGTAATGAGGGTGGGGCTCTGGTCTGATGAGATTAGTGCCCTTGTAAGAGGAGATGCCAGAGAGCTTGAACTCCCTCTCGCTCTGCTCCCGGGAAATACCATATACATATACATATACATATACATATACATATACATATGCATATGCATATGCATATACATACATGACATGGCAAGAAGGCAGTCCCATCTGCAAGCCAGGAAGAAATTCCTCACTAGAATCCCACTGCTGGCACCCTAATCTTGGGCTTCCAGTCTCTGGAATTTTGAGAAAACACATTTCTGATGGTTAAGCCATTGGGTCCATGGTGTTTTGTTATGGTGGCCTGAGCTAACATATTATGTATCCTGACAGAAAATCTCAGTTGGAAAAACAAACAAAATTATCAGCAACCAAGAGCATTCAACTGTAAATCCAGGCCAGGTCATGTACAAAACAAGTTACAAAGAGCAAGACACAGGTAACCAGAGGGCCCAATGACCAGCCCTGGCCTGCCGTAAGGTAGTTATGTAGCCTTGGGCAAAACACTCCCACCTCTGCCCGTACCTTCACTGCTGAGATGGTTAGACTATATGAGTTTTGTGAATATGTGTTACTATTATCTTTAAACATAGAGAAAATTCATGTTCATTCAAAAAGTTCGATCAGGGGCACCTGGGTGGCTCAGTCGGTTAAGGGTCCGACTGCGGCTCAGGTCACAATCTCAAGGTGTGTGAGTTCGAGCCCCAAGTCGGGCTTTGTGCTGTCAGCTCAGAGCCCGGATCCTGCTTCAGATTCTGTGTCTCCCTCTCTCTCTCTGCCTCTCCCCTGCTCACACTCTGTCTCTCTCTCTCTCTCTCTCTCAAAAATAAATAAACATTTTTTAAAAATTAAAAACTTCAACTATTACAGAAATATGTAGAGTAAAACATGAGCATTCCCTTTGCCTTTCTCTCTGCAGAGTTAACCACAGTTACCTGCGTGGAACAGATCCTTTTAGACATTTTTCTGCCGTGGCCCTGCTCAGATGTTCACTCCTTCTTGCGGCCTTCCCATGTTCCGGGCCCTGTATCTTTCTGCTCTTCTCTCCCTTGGCACTTTATGTGGGAAGACAAGAAGAGAGCAAGGGGATTGAAGGCAGAGAAGAGCCTGTGTCTCTGTGCTCCGTTCATGGAGGAGGCAGCAGTTCCGAGCAGGAGACGTCTGAAAAGGCATTTAGGGAATCGCCCAACCCTGCATGCAGCTGACAAAGAGAGCGAGTGTGACCAGGATGCTTCCATTCATGGGGAAAGAGCCAGAATGCACACCTTAGAGGACAAATTTTGAATGTATTTGGTCATTTTATTGTTTTATTCATTCACTCATCCATTCGTTCATTCATTCATTCATTCATTCATTCATTCATTTTGAGAGAGAGGGTGTGAGAGCAGAGCCTGATGTGGGGCTCGAACTCATGAACCTTGAGGTCGTTGGTCTTTTAATTGCTTTAATTGAGGCATAACATACATATAGTAAAGTACACAAATCTTAAGCATACAGCTTGAAGATTTTTACACGCGCACACACACGCAGCTACCACCCAGACAAGAAACATTTCCAATGCCCTGGGCGATCGCCCCACCCCCAGCCGTGTGAGGAAACCACTCTTCTAACTGGTATCACCATCTCTTCACTTTGGCTCTTCTTGGGCCTCATCTACACGGAATCCGCAGCATGTTGTATTGTGTGTCTGCCTTCCTTTGATCATCCCTATGTCTGTGAAGTTTCTCCAGGTCGTTGCATGGAAGCAATAGCAATTCTTAGTATTGCCAAGTGCTGTCCCACTGTGGGACCATATCATGATTTGTTTACGCTTCTTGCCTGCGAGGGATGTTTGTCAGTGTTTCCGGTTTGGGGCTATTGAGAATAAAGTTGCCCTGATTGTTCTGTGCTTGGTTTTTTGATGGGCCACCCACTCGTGTCTCTGGTGGATCTGTCTAGGAGCAGGATTGCTCGCTGGCTCATGATTTGTCCCTTAGGGAAACATTCAGAAGGATTTTGCAGGGATTTGCCCCTGGCCGTGAATGCCGAGGCCACAAAGCTGTAGGAAGACTGTGGAAGAGTGAGAAAGGGCCATACCCCTTCTGGAAGGGGCAGCATCCAGAGGCTGAGCTAAAGAGCCCCCCACCAAGACTGCAGAGGGGTTCTCTCGCCCGGCCCCCACCCAGGGAAACGAGGTTGAGCGGCCGTTCCAAGGCCGGCGTTCCACAGATTTTCCTGGCTGTTTATCTCCCCCTTGAGACTCCCAGTAAGTGAGCTGGGGAAGTGCGGTCACATCCTCAGAGCTGCAGACAGGCTTGCTCCGCTCGGGCCAGGGTCCGTTCCGGCCTACAGAAGGACTTTGAGTTTTCAGGAATTAGCCCCGATCAGCAGGAAGCCAGGGAACAACAAATCAGCAGCCAGGGTCACAGCGGGACTGGAGCTCCCGAGGCATTCGGCTTGTGGTGCCACCGGGAGCAGCAAATCAGAGTCTGAGAGCAAAGGAGGCAGTAATCTCCCCAGAAAGCAGATGGGGATAGCCTTCCACGCCCAGCGCCTCCCAGCTGCCTGGGCTCAGACGGGGACACTGGAGGCTGTCCGCTGCACCTGGAGCCTCTCTGGTCAACATGACGCACCATGGCGTCACCCGAGGCTGCCTGGAAATGATCTCAGAGACCATTTCACTTACGGTTGTCAGTCTGATGGCCCCCGGTGCGGGCTGGTGTTGCTACAAAAGCAGAGGGAAGAAATGGGAGACAACAGTCACTATGGAGCCTGAGCCCTAGCCCTACCAGTGACTTCTAGATGACTCCACAAGTCACTTTCCCCCTGGAACCAGAATTTGTTTATGGGTACGATGGACTCCCACTGGGTACATCGCTATGTAAGCCCAGAGTTACTTCGAGAATCACCTAAACGTTGTTGTTCGCCAGAGAAGAGAGCATATGGCTCTATAAATATAAAATATGGTCTCAGTAACTGTTTATGGCCAGAGGGAGAGGATGACCTGTGAAGGGCGTCACCGGGCTGCCCAGCCAGGACAAGCCCTTCCCTCGGGCCTCATTGTCCCCCACCCCCTGCCCAGCCAGTGAGGCACAGCCTCTGCCCATGAGGGTGGGGACGTGGCCCTGAGCACAGGTGTGATCAGAGCTGTGGTGAACCAGACACAAAGGCATGTCCCCTTCAGGGCCATTGAGTCAGTGGGTGGGTTACCCGATCCATAGTTATTATTCGTTTGCAGGTAAAAAAGCTGATATGCAGAGGTTAAGAAATGAAATCAAGGGGCACCTGGGTGGCTCAGTCGGTTCAGCATCTGACCCTTGATTTTGGCTCAGGTCATGATCTCCATGATTCGTAAGTTCGAGCCCTGCATTGGGCTCTGAGCCGACAGTGCAGAACCTGCTTGGGATTCTCTCTCTCCCTCTCTTTCTCTGTCCATACCCCGATTACCCATGTTCTCTCTCTCTCTCTCTCTCTCTCTCTCTCTCAAAATAAATATAAAAAAGAAAGGAAATCAGGATCGCACAGCCGTCAACAGTGCTGGGGTCAGGCCCCGACTCCAAGGTCCACCTCTTTCCGTGGCCTGTCCTTAGCAGCATCAACCCCAATAAAGACTGGCTCAGGCAAGGGGCCACACGAGGCTTTGGGAACAGGGTCAGAGATCCCCAAGCCCTTCATTACCCACTGGAAGAGATTCTCAGCTGGCGTGCTGGGGTGCTGGTCCCCACTCCGTTCCAGCTCCGTGCCACTTCCCCAGCCTTCTGCTGACTGGTACCAGCCCCCGACACTAGCCAGCCTTCTCAACCTTCCAGGCCGTTCTCAAATGCTGCCGCCTCCAAGAAGCCTTTCCTGATCTCCCCAGCAATTTGAATCACCCTCTTTTTTAATTTCTTATAGTTTTTGTTCCGTTTTTAAGGAAAGAATGTACGTCAGAGATTTATTTAACTCCTTCGGGAGAGCCAAGATGGCTCCTGGGAGAATTTGAAGACCAAGGTATTTATAGGAATTGCTAAAATAGGACTGATAGATCTGATACAGAACTGGTATTGCCTTCCAGGGATAGATCGTTAAGATCTTTAAGCTTTGGAAGGATCTTTTCTACCTGAGGGAAATTGTTTGCACTCTGCCTGACAAGAGGCTACAAGTCAACATGGACGTTCACTGGGGGGCCCGGTCGGTTAAGCACCTGACTCTTGATCTTGGATCTGGTCATGATCTCCTGGTTTGTGAGTTTGATCCCCGGGTCAAGCTCTGTGCTGACAGCTTGGAGCCTGGAGCCTGCCTCGGATTCTGTGTCTCTCTGTGCCCCTCCCCTGCTTATGCTCTGTCCTTCTTTCTCAAAAATAACCATTAAAAATTTTTTTAAACAAAGACATAGAATCTCACAAACCTAGAGCCTGTGATCAGTGCTCAAGGGCAAGTCAGGATACAGGTGTGGATGCCTAGGTCAGCAAACTACAGCCCATGGGTGAGTCTGGCTTGCACTTAGTTTTGTAAATAAACTTTCAATAGAAGCTGGCCATGCTTATCTGTATAGTCATTATCTGTGGTTGCCTCTGTGCCAAACTGGTAGAGCTGAGTAGTTGCATAGTTGTGACAGAGATAGTATGATCTGGAAAGCTGAAAATATTTACCATCTGGCCCTTTACAAGAAATGTTTATAGGGTCACCTGGGTGGCTCAGTTGGTTAAGCGTCCGACTTCGGCTCAGGTCACAATCTCATGGTTTGTGGGTTCGGGCCCCACATCAGGCTTTGTGCTGACTGCTAGCTCAGAGCCTGGAGCCTGCTTCAGATGCTGTATCTCCCTCTCTCTCTGACCCTCCCCTACCCACACTGTCTCTCTCTCTCTCAGAAATAAATAAAACATTAAAAAATTTTTAAAAATAATAAAAAGAGAAATGTTTGCTGACCCCTAGTGTCTCGGGTTTTTCTTTTCTTTTTCAAAATTTTTATGGTGGTAAAATACATACAACATAAAATTTATCATCTTAACCATTTTTTATATATATTTTTAATGCTTATTTTTTTTTTAAAGAGTTATTTTTTTCCTTTCAGATTCTGTTTTTTTTTTTTTTTAAATGTTTTATTTATTTCTAGGAGAGAGATAGAGACAGCGTGAGCAGGGGAGGGCCAGAGAGAGAGGGAGTCACAGACTGAAACAGGCTCCAAGCTCCGAGCCGGCAGTCAGCACAGAGCCCGACGCGGGGCTCGAACCCACAAACCGCGAGATCATGACCCAAGCGAAAGTCGGACGCTTAACCGACTAAGCCACCCAGGCGCCCCTTTAATGCTTATTTTTTGAGAGAGAGAGAGACAGAGCACGAGTCGGGGAGGAGCAGAGTGAGAGGGAGAAACAGAATCTGAAGCGGGCTCCAGGCTCCGAGCTGTCAGCACAGAGCCCAACGTGGGGCTCCTACTCACAGACTACAAGATCATGACCTGAGCTGAAGTTGGACGCTTAACCAACTGAGCAACCCAGAGGTGCCCTATCATCTTAACTATTTTTTAGTGAATATAATTTATTGTCAAATTGGCTTACATTCGACACCCAGTGCTCATTCCAATAAGTGTCCTCCTCAATTCCCATCACCCATTTTCCCCCCTCCCACATCCTCTTCTCCTCAGTTTGTTTTCTCTCTCTCAATTTTTTAAATGTTTGTTTAGTTTTCAGAGAGAGAGAGTATGAGCAGGGAGGGGCAGAGAGAGAGGGAGACACAGAATCTGAAGCAGGCTCCGGGCTCTGAGCTAGCTGTCAGCACAGAGCCCGACACGGGGCTCGAACCCATGAACTGTGAGATCATGACCTGAGCTGAAGTCTAACGTTTAACCCGCTGAGCCACCCAGGCGCCCCTCTTCTCTATATTTAAGAGTTTCTTGTGGTTTGCCTCCCTCCCTCTCTGTTTGTAACTATTTTTTCCCCTTCCCTTGCCCCATGGTCTTCTGTTAAGTTTCTCAAGATCCACATATGAGTGACAACATATGATATGTCTCCCTCTGACTGACTTATTTCACTTAGTGTGGCACCCTCTAGCTCCATCCACATTGCTGCAAATGGCAGGATTTCATTCTTTCTCATTGCCAAGGAGTATTCCATTGTATAGATAAACCACATCTTCTTGATCCATCATCAGTTAATGGACATTTGGGCTCTTTCCTTAATTTGGCTATTATCTTAACCATTTTTAATTATCTGGTGGTGTGGTGTTAGATACATACTGTCCACCTTTCCAGTTTCTGTCTCTATTGACTTGACTATTCTAGTAACTTCACATAAGTGGAATCACACAGTATTTATCTTTTTGTGACCAGCTTCTTTCGCTTAGCATGGTACTTCCCAAGGTCCATCTGCGTGGAGGCATGTGTTAGCTTTTCCTCCCTTTTTAAGGCTGAATAATATTCCATCGTGTGTAGAGACCACATTTTCGTTTATTCAATCATCTGTCAGTAGACATTTGTGTGCTTCCGCGTTATAGCCATCGTGAAAAATGCTGCTATGAACATGGCTATAAAATATATCTTTGACACCCTGCTTTCAGTTCTTTTGGATATTAGCCCAGAAGCGGGATTGCCGGGTCACATGGTATTCTATTTGTAGGGTTTTGAGAATTGCTGTGTTACTTGTCACAGTAATGACACCGTTTTACATTCCCACCGACAAGTATTTCAATTTTTCTACATCTTTGCCAACACTTGTTATTTTCTTTTCTTCTTCTTTTTTTTAATGTGTGTTTTTGAGAGAGAGAAAGAGAGACAGAGCGGGAGTGGAAGGAAGTAGAGAGAGAGAGGGAGACACAGAATCTGAAGCAGGCTCTACACTCTGAGCTGCCAGCACAGAGCCCAACGTGGGGCTCAAACCCGTAAACTGCGAGATCATGACCTGAGCCCAAGTCGGACGCTTAACCTACTG